TTGAAGGACACTGATGGAAAGAAAAGCAAATAGAAAGTAACATAGTTCTATACAAACCCTTTTTTTTTTTTTGGTAGTAGGGATCAAACTCATGACCACACACTTGCAATGTAGGCACTTATGCTGCTGAGCTAAATCCCTGGCCCCTAAAATGTCTATTCACTTTTTTTTTGGTGGCACAGGGGATTGAACTCACAAACTTGTGCTTGCCAGGCAGGTGCTTATGCTGCTGAGCTAAATCCCCAGCCTCTAAGCAAACTTTAAAGAAGAGAAACAACTTGACTAGTTAATAGAGGAAAGACCCCAAATTTATGAAATTATCACACAAAATACTGAATGTGGATTCAGAGGATATAAGCAAAAAGTTGGAAAAGCTGACCAAATGGTTCAAACATGAAATGACAAATTCACCCAAGATACAGAATCCATGAAAAGATCTCAGAAACAAATACCTGAAAAAAAACTATGTAAAGTTCAAAAATTCAGAAATGAGCAACATGAACACAGAGTGCTTGAAATGGGAAACTAAATGGTACATTATGACATCAGAAGAGTTTGGAGGGAAGTATTTCAAACCTATGAGCAAAGAACTTCCACACTTATTAACATAACTGGTAAAATAGTTCTTCAAAAATAAAGAGAATTAAGGACGCTTAATGAAAAGGGAGACTCAAGGGGTTTATGATTATAAATTGTGCACTCCAGAAGATACTTAAGAATATCCTACACGTAAATGATGACACCAATGAAGATAGAAGCCTAGATGGAGTGAAAACACCAAGCAAGGTCAGTGGGTGCACAAGAACAATGAATGACAGGAAAAGAAAAACAAAAAGTCACTAATAGAGAAAGCGTAGAAGGATAGGAACTAATCAACAATGTTCTGTAATATCTCTCAACATTAATGACCTCACCGCTACAATGAAAAGATACAGATTGCAGAGTAGATCAAACAACAGAATCCAACAGTCTGTTGCATTTAGGAAACTCATCTAATCCAAAAAATCTATTCATAGTGCAAAAATCAAAGGATGGAAAACAATATTTTACACAGCGGGACCCTCAAAAGAAGCAGGGGTAGCAATTTTAATCTTAGACAGTATAAATTGTGACTTGATCAAAAGGGACAAAAAAAGTCATTATGTACTATTTCAGAGATCAGTCAAGCAAGAAGAGGTAACAGTTTTTGGAAAATATCCAGAAGGGCAATAGCTAGATGAGACAGCCAATCCAAGCTTTCTGAGGAAGCTTCACACTGTTTTTCACATTGGTTGTACCAGTCTACACTCCCAGCTATACTGCAGAAGGTTTCCTTTTTTCCTACCACCCCTCCAGCATTTGTTACTGATTTCTTGATGATAGCTATTCTTTCTAGGGGGAGGTAGAATCTCAGTTTTGTTTTAATTTACATTTCTTGAATGACCAGTGATGTTGAACATTGTTTCCTATGTTTATTTAGAATTTGTATTTCTTCATCTGAGAGGAATTGAAAACGTCATAAACAGCGATATACGTGCACTCATGTTTATAGTACCACAATTTGTAATATGTAAATCTTGGAAACATCCCAAATGCCCACCACCTGCAGAAAAAAGATGTGGTATTTTTAATTATTTACTTATTTTGAAGGGAATAAAATAAAACAAAATAGAATGAAACAAAACAGTGAAAATAACATTGAACTTCAAAAACAAGACAGAAGGAAATCCCCCATAGTTCCTATGTTGTGTATTGTTATCTTCTAAACAGATACTCAGACTACTGGCCCCAGGCCTTCAAAGTCAATCAATCAAGACAAGCACTCAGTTGTTTTCTACCTCAGTTGCTAGCCCGTGTTCCTCTGAATCAACTAGTTGCCTACACAGGGCTGGTGGTGGAGGTTTTTCTTGTCTCCCAGCCCACACGCTAGGTAGATCATGGGAAGGGTGGGATGACTTAGTGATTCTCCTCCTGGCCTGCATGGCTGCCACTGGCTCATGGGAGGGATGGGATGATTATTTGGTTCTCTTCCTGGCCCACAGCTGTGATTGGCTCATGGAAAAGGTCGTGTGACTTTTTGGTTCTCTTCCCAGCCCTTGGCTGCTGCTGGCTCATGGCACGGGTGGGCTGATTTCTTGGTTCTCTCTATTGGTCTGCATGGCTCAAGATGTGGTATGTTCATACAATAGAGTATTACTCAGTGATCAGAAAGATAAACTTGGGGTTTTTCTAGGTAAATGGGTGCAACTTGAGACTATTCTCATAAGTGAAATATATGAAAGTTGCATGTATAAGTATATTGTCTCGCTAGTATAACGACTGAAAGAGTAAATAAGATCCAAAATGCACGATAGATACTGTGAAAAGGCAAGGGAACTGCTCAAAGGGAAAGAACAAGTGGGATAGGGAAAAAGAGAAAAGAAAGAAGGGAAAAGATTATATATATAGTAGTGCTAGTAAACTGTTAGTTCACAAAAACGAACAGGTTGTGCTTTTAATGTGTGATCCTGTTTTCATTACTATATCTTGTAATCTGAACAAAGAGTTTGAAAGTAACAATGCACAGTACATTATCCAATGTTAATCTCCTATTATTTTGTTTTGAAATTTTGCATAGTTTTAATTCTTCTTGTTTTAAAATTTAAAAACAAGAGGTAATAGTAATAAATATGCACTGAATATTGAAGTAGCTAACAATAAAACAAATACTGTTGAACATAAAAGATCAACTAAATACTAACACAATCATAGTGAGGGATCTTAAAATCTCATTTTCTTCCAGTGTACATCAACTAAACAAAAAATCAATAAAGAAATATCAGAACTGAACCACATCAATGAACCATGGACTTAATAGACATCTATGGAGTGTCCTGACTTACTACAACAGAGTATATGTTGCTTTCTACAGCTCATGTTACAAAACAGATTACATATAGTGTACAAAGTCTGGCTAAATGAATATAAAAGAGTCAAAGCCATTCAATGGGTACTAACTGATCATTGTGCAATGAAAATGGAAAGTAACCATAGACGAAGCCACAGAAAATTGAGAGGCAAGAGGATATTAGTGACAACTGTCCTAAGCAACCAGCATGTCATAGGAGAAATCAAGAAAGAAATTTCCTGAAGATAAGAAATTTCTGGAAGGTAATGACAATGATGGTACAAGTCAACAAAATCTCTGGGACACAAGAAGGTAGTCCAAAGAGGGACATTGGTTGCAGTCATTGTTCACATTGAGAAAACAGAGTGTACTCAGAGCTATAACCTTATGAGGTACCTCAAGATCCTTAAGCAACAACAATCATGATGTAAAGTAAAATTAAAATTCTAGGAACATAACACTGGGGAAAGTAATCCCATCTCTTAGTTTTCTACTGTAAATTTGTATGTTAGCATACTAGTAGGTGGCTTTGCATCTAAGTTCCTTTCTCTGAGGGATACAGATAGTAATTTTTGTGTTTACTCACTTGGTATGATGAACAGCAAGGTGTGTGCACATGTTTAAAAGTGGCAAAATGATATTTCTCCTCACCTTATGATCAGCTAACTGGTTTTACCTTATGATTAGTTTATGTACATTTACTGGTTTTACGTACATTTTACGTACATTTACCTGAGCATTTCAGGGTTCAATAGGCCCACACCACTCTGGGATTGTTAAAAAAAGTTTTCTTTGATTTGTCTGGTAAAAGTAGCCCAAGTCAGTACAATGGCACATTAAAAAAAACAGAGGTGCTATCTCTATTCAGTCAGGTTGTTTCTTTACTAATGATTCAATTTGACCCACTCCAAACCTGCAAATTTGCTTTTTCATGTAGTTAAAAATTTACTAAGAAAGAAAAGCCCAGGTCCTGGTGGATTTATTTAGAGAAGATTTTTGCCAACACTCCTCAAACTCTTAAATGAAGTTGAAATGAGAGCAATACTCGCTAACTCATTCCTGGAGGCAAGTGTTACCCTGATGCCAAAAAAAGAGGAAGAACCAACCAAAAAGACAATTATAGGTTAATGTCTCTAATGATCATAGATGCAAACATCCTCAAAAACATAATAGCAAACAGAATGCCAGAAATCATCAAGATTATACATCATGAAGTAGGGTTCATCTCTGGACCACAGAGGTGGTTCAGCATACACAGATCAATAAATGGAGCACACAGTGCTATCAGACTCAAAGACAAATCCACATAATCATTTTAATAGATGCACAAAAAGTTTCTGACAAAGTCTAACATTCATTTATGATAAAAGCCCTGCAGAAAATTGGAATATAGGGATCTTTCTCTCAACCTGATGAAAGCCACCTATGACAAACAACAGGTCAACATCAATACTAAATGGACAGTGACTGAAAGCTCTCACTCTAAAATCAGGAGCAAGGCAAGAATGTGTACTATCACCACTCCTATCCAATGTAATTCTGGAAATATTAGCTACAGCAATTAAAAAAAGAGAGAAATAAAATGAATAAGGATAGGAAATGAAGAAGTTAAATTGTCATTATTTGCAGATTACCTGATATTCTACATAAAAGACCCCAAAAACTCCACCAAAAGACTTCTAGATTTAAAAAAATTCAGTTATGTAGCTGGATACAAGTCAACACTCAGAATATAAATAGCATTCCTGTTCACAAACAACAAATTCACTGAGAAATTATGGAGCCCACACCCTTCACAGCAGCATCCAAAAAAAAAAAAAAAAATAATAATAAGAAGAAGAAGGAAAAGAAAAGAAAAAGAAATACTTAGGAAGCAGTGTAAGAAAGTAAGTGGAAGATGGATACATTGGAAATTGTAATACTGAGAAAAAGGATATCAGAAACCGAAAAGATATCCTTTGCTCATGATTAGGAAGAACCAACATTGTGAAAATGATCATGCTTCCAAAATACAGATTTAATGCAATCTTGATCAAGCTAACACTAGCATACCTTACCAAGGAACAGGAACCAATCAGCGACGAAGCGGCAGGCTGTAGGAACTATCCAATCAGGTCGCTGAGGGAGGCGGGCTCTTCCTGTTTCATGGCGCCACAGTGCACACTCTCTGTGTGTTGCGGAGGGTCTCCAGTTGACTAGAGCACCTTCTTCTGTAACTTCTAGTGGCTTCAGGCTACATTTGAAGGATCCTGGGAGACCCTCAAGCCGCGCAATGGTGAGGTTGTGGGACGGGAGCTGGGAATGGGATGGAGTCGGATGAGTTTTGGAAGAAAGTGGCCAGAACCCGATGTGAAATTTACACTCCCTGCTTAGCTTCAGACTCCCAGGGCTTGTAGACTTTGGTGCTGCGTCATCCTCTGTCCCCCTTTGCCTTTGCATCCTGTCTCCTGTCTTCTTGGGTGACCCCAGACACAGCTGTAGCTCCGCCAGTCTGGGGAGAGCAGGGGTTTTGGAGTAACCCAGAATTCTATACGTTAGCAATAGAAAAAAGTCACTTTATTTACGCAAGACGTCGACTCACAGTGATTATACTGAATAAATGGAACTGGTGGTCTCACAATATTGAGGAATGCGGTTCGGAGCCAAAAGAAGGGTGTTAGAGATATTTTATGGGCGGGTTGGGGTGTGTGTGGGGGGGAGGATTGTTACCTGGTTTTCAGGAAGCTTCCAGAGTCAGTGGCCATGTGTGTCTGTCTGCTCAAGTCAGAGCTAATGTAAATACAGTAAGCAGAGCAAAATAATTGCTCATTTTTTTAGTTGCCATGTATTACAGGTGGCTCTGTGGATTTAAGACAATCACTGTGAACTCGGGCTCTCTAATCCATTTCCTTAGCATGCAGGTTTAAATGAAATAATTTTAGAGAAACATTGGGTCTGTATTTTAAGTTCCTGGACACTTGGGACCTTACTAGAGAGTGACTGTAACTCCTTTGAGGGCATAGGGTGCTGTATTTCTTATTGTGCGGAAATTTTGTTATTTGTCTAAAGTCCTAGATGATTTATCTATTTGCATGTCAGTTCTTGTCAAAATGACTTTATCTGAAGCTCTTTCCCTAGTTTAGGTGCCTTATTTATAAGATACCTAATAAAATATTCTTTTTAATTAGACTATTTAAATGAGGCTTTTAATGTCGAATGCTGAGTAAAATGAAGGAAATGTTAATGTATTACCAAAGGAGGGGAAAATGTTCCTGCTAAGAGTGACTTCCTGTAGGGGCTGCTTGATAAGCTCACACTGAGAAATGCATTCAACAACGACATCTACAAGGGACATATACATGGGTATTGCTATGAGTGGAAAGGGAAAGAAGTGTCATCTCTGAAATAATTGCTGTAATACTTGGTTTTTTCTAGACACTGTTTTAAAAATTGAAATATTGAGGGCTGGGGATTTAGCTCAGTGGCTTAGGCACCTGCTTTACAAGCTCATGGTCGATCCCTGGTACCCCCCCAAAAAAAAACAAAAACAAAAACAAAAATTGAGACACTAATTGAAATGAACTTTGTATAAAACAAGTACTGAAGTATGGGTAAATTCCTGTACTTACGGTCCGTGGACTTGTGAATGAATGCAAATAAAATGATTTTTAAAATTTTAGAATCAAAAAATAAATAAACAATAAAAAACAAAACGATGACAATTTCATAACATAATAGGCAATTAAAAATGGTTAATATGTTGCGTATTGTTATCTTCAACGTAGTTTCTTCACTTTCACAGTATCTATTATACATTTTGAATCCTATTTACTTTGAGATTTTTACGTTAGGGAGACAATACAGTGTTTACACATATGAGTCTGATTTATTTCATTTATGGATGTGGTCTCAAGGGGCATCCATTTGCCTATAAAAGCCTTAAGTTTTTCCTTCTTTATAGTTGAATAGTACTTCATTGATTTAAAAACACCACATCTTTTTTTATCTGTTTTACAGTTGACTAGCATTTGTGTTGTTTTTTAAAGTTAGCTATTACAAATTGTGCTGCTATAAACATGGGGGCATATATGTCACTGTGGGAAAAACTTTAGTCAACTGCCCCTCAGACCAAAATAATTCTATCTAGAATCCATAAAGATTCTGGATTAAGAACTGAAAAATATTAGGCTCCCCAAATTCAAAGACCCAATCCAAAAATGGGCATCTGAGATGAATATGCACTTTTTTGATGAAGAAATATAAATGACAAATAAATGTATGAAAAGACATTCAACATCACTGGTCATTTGAGAAATGTAAATTAAAACAGCATTGAGATTCTGTCTCACTCCAGAAAGAATGGTTATTCTCAACAATTCAACCAATAACAAATGCTAGCAGGGCTGTGGAGAATAAGGAACTCTTTTCCACTCTAGCTGGGAGTGTACTCTGCTACAACCCCCTTGGAAATCAGTGTGGAAATTCCTCAAAAAACTAAGATTGGAAATCCCATTCAATCCAGCTGTTCCACAGCTGGGTATTTTCTCTGAAGAACTGAAGGCATCATACCACAGTGATATATGTGCACTCATGTTTATAGCAGCACAATTTGTAATCGCTAAATCTTGGAAACAACCCAAATGCCCATCTGTTGCAGAATGCATTAAAAAGGTGTGGTATTTTTATATGGTGGAGTATTATTCAGCTATAAAATGATAAACTTGAGGCTTTTATAGGTAAATGGATGCACCTTGAGACCATACTCATAAATGAAATCAGATTCACTTGTGTAAATATCATATCTCCCTAGTGCTAAAAATTGAAAGAGTAAATAGGATCTAAAATATATTGTAAAAAGGAAAATAAAGAAACTGCTCAAAAGGCAAGAACAACTGGGATTGGGGAAAGGAGAAAAGATAGATGTATATAAAACCTTTTCACCCCTTCAGATTAGTAGTATAGTTATCATATATATGTGTCATAATTATACTAGTACTGTTGACTCGTCAAAAAGAACAATTTGTGTTTTCATTGTTTGACTGGTCGTTTTTTCATGCCTACATCTTGTAATCTGAACAACTACTTTGAAGATAACAATATGCAATATATTAAGCAGGGCTAATCACTTGTAATTTTGTTTTAAAGTTCTGTATGACTATTTTTATTCTTTTTTTTTGTTAAAAAGAAACAAAAAACTTTGACCTTATTTCCTAATATTGGCTAATACTAAGTATTTCTAAATACATTTTATGACTTACTATTGAGACTATATATTTAGCACTGTATTTTGTAGAGGGCATGGTAGCTCATGCTTGAAATCTTTGTACCTGGGACTTCATTGCAGGAAGATCAGTACAAGTTTGAGGCCACCCTAGACTACATAGTGTTTTGAAGGCCAGCTTGAATTGATAGTGTGAGATCCCCTCTAAATACATGAAAAAATTGTATTTGGAATGAAAACAGCATGAGTGGACTGAGAATGTGGTAGAGTGTGTGCTCAATGTGAGTGAAGTCCATATTTTTTCCCTTGAGTGAGAAAAGAAAGCAAATTGAGATTTACAAATTTTTCCCTTGTCTATGATTTCAAATGCTTCTGTATTACAGTCTGTATAAAATGAAGGAAATTTCATGTCATAACAGAATTTTTACATGTGTTTATTTTTTTTGAAAAATATTTAAACAGTCTAAATAAATCTAATACCTATTGTCTGTATATTTCTAAGACCTTAGAATTAGCAAGGTTTTTAAAAATGTTTTTGTCTTTGTGAGACAGGGTTTCACTATGTGGTTCAGGCTGGCCTTGGGCTCACTTTGTAGCCCGGGCTGATTTCAAACTTGCAAATGACTTTCTTGCCTCAGCCTCCCAAGTGCTGTGATTACAGGAGTGCCCTACCATGCCTGGCTGAATTAGCAAGTTTTAATTACATTTTTGACTCATGCCAAATTTGCAACCATATTGATAGATTGTAGTTCTATTTCTGAGTGAAGATGTGCTGTTTACTAGAGTTTTCAAAGAAAGTATATATTTACAGTTCTATGCTAATTGCATGCCAGTGTAAACTCCTGCTCATCTGCCCATTCTGACGTTCAAATCGTGATCCTCTTGCTTTAGTCTCCCTAGAAGCTGGGTTTCCAGGTATGTAGGATCCCTCCCATCTCCCTTCTTTGTTTTATTTCATAGGAATTAGAATGTCTGGACTGAGAGCTCAATATACAGATTAAAAAGAAATCAAAACATCTAAGAAATCAGTGGAAAGAAACACTCTCAGAGAATACATTTTATAAAACACTTACATCAAATATATGTTTCCGAGGATTAGCCCTGTGTGAGAAAGATTATAACCTGGTCATTCATGCCTGTTTGCAGTGCTCCATGGCTTTTCTTACAGTCAGTATGAATATAACCGAATGAATTGCACAAACCTGGCTTAAGAACTTAATATACTGGTCTCATGTTTCTCTTGCACTACATTGAATTTTAAGGACATTGTAATGTGAACGAGAAAAAAAAGTGTAACTTCTGGCAAGTTGTTTGGTTATTAATTGCTGTTTGATCTGTATCACACCTAACTTTTTACTGTTGTGTCTTCATTCTGTTTTAGATCTCACCAAAACCATTAGCCGTGCTTGTTGAGAGATTTTGACCGTTTTTACAGGTTATCCTCTCTGGCTTCTTGGCTTTCTCATGGCAGCTCCAGCCAGCTGTCTTACTGCTGTAACTGCTGGTGACCTGTTCACACTGCTGGGGAATCTGCTCACTAGAGTCCTGCTTAGAGTAAATGTAGTTGCTATACATTTATATACTTCTTCTTTGTTTTCATATACTTCTTTTGGCTTACATTTTTTACCTGTAAAATTCTGTTCAGCGTCATTATCTATGGTTGTCAACCTATTGTGCCCATATCTTGGTGTCACTTGTATGTCCTGGGCTGACCAGCAGTGTTCTGCACCTTTTTCTATACTCAGTTTTTGCTCACGGTTATGGTCTATGCCCAATGTCTTAGTTACTTTTTACTTGTCGCTGAGACAAAATACCTGAAGCCCAAGTTGGGAAAGGAAAGGTTTATTTCTTACAGTTTTTGGAGGTTTCAGTCCACCCTCAGTTGGTTCCAAGGCAGGTGGGCATGGCTGGGCCGCAGTTCATGGTGGCTTGCAAACAGCAAGCAGGAACCAGCAAAGAGCAAGACACATCTTCTTCCTGCCATTACATCACATCCTGGCTCCACCCCTATGTGAGTGGAGCACTGACACCATCAATCCAAGCACTAGACAATGAACCAATCACAAATGCATAGT